TGATGCAAACCTTCACAAGAGAAAATCTCAATTAATTCATATGAAAAGTTTTTTAATGTAAGAATACAATGAGAGAGAATTCCTATATTTATACTAGTTGTAAAACCCTAAAATAATCTAGTAAAACCGTGCATTATTCGTCCAAGATTACAAAGTTATGGAATAAAAATAAAATTTAGCAAAATATGGAAAATCGTGAAAAAGGAATTTTTTTCCCAAAATATAGTATAATCCAATGCAATCACATAGTTCATTTGAAATCCTTCAATTTGGTTTCGGGAATGGTCTATGACGTTGCATGCCTTTTATATTATGCGGTCGCATAGTATTAAATTTCAACACAAACTTTTTCATTTGCAGAATTTCGTGACGATTCCGGATTGTACTCATGGGCAAAAATTTGACACCCGAACTGAAAGTTATTCCTCTTCTAATCCATCCTGCTTGTTTTTCCATATATCGTCCAAAACTTTGAATCCAATTCTCTTAGGCTCTCATCCCCAACATGAAAGTTACTCCTTAACATGTGAACCCCGTAACCTCAACACTTAATTGCATAATTTTATTGGCTTTGCTCAAACTCGACTTTGCACTTAGTCTCTTCCAGCCAAACATGGACCTTGTTATCTTTGAGATGTTGGACTTGGTTGTTCGAACATATAAATGACCATCTTTATCAGCTCCTTCAAAGTCTCGAACTTGGCTCGAACACTTAATTTGCCTGGCTTGTTGGCTAGATTAAACTTAAACTTTGCACTTGGTTTTCTTCTAACAATAATCAAATTTTCGGTAGTTTGGTGCGCAAACCAAATCATATCACAATATCACCTATAGAAATAGTTCATTCTAGAAGAGGATAGTGGAGTAGAATAGATCTTGAAAGAGTTCAAGAATTCACTGATATAGTTGACTAAGTAAATGAACTTGAGTCTGATCTCACACTAGCTAAAGGACATACTCTTGATCAGGAGATAGAGACTCTGTAGGACACGTTAGTTCCGTATAAATCTTGTAAGATCATTCGACCTCCAAGAAGATATGAATCCATGATTACTAATAATTTATTACTAATCGAGGATGATGAACATACTAATTAAATATGAAAGTCAAGTGTTGACTCAAAGAGATGGCAGTAGACCACAAAATTCGAGATGAACTCGATTTATGTAAAATAGGTTTGGACCTTGGTTGACCCACATGATGGGGTAAAATGTATAGGCCATGAATAAGTTTATAAAGAAGATGTCAACATGTATGCGAACATCCATGCATACAAATCAAGGCTAGTAACAAAATGTTACAAACAAAAATGAGGTGTTGACTTTCATAAAATTTTCTCACTTCTAGACATACAGAAGTCCATTTGGATTTTACTTGTAAGAGCTGCGTACCATGACTATGAATTATGGCAAATGGATGTAAAAACTGCATTCTTAGCAAAAACTTACTAGAGGAATTGTATATGATACACTCGAAAGTTTTGAATCCAAATATGTTTACAAGGTATACAAGCTTAATCAATCCATATATAGATTGAACAAGCTTTTTGGAGCTAGAATCTTCACTTTGATGAAGAAGTCAAAGGATTTGATTTTATTAAAAATAAAGATGAACCATGTGTTTACAAGAAGACAGTGGAAGCGTTGTCATATCCTCATATTACATGACGCCCCTATATTTCAATAGTTGATTATGGTCATCAAATAATTTTTTTCCTGAAAGATATGATAAAAGCAACTTGATCTATGAAGATAGATCTAGAAGATTGTTTGACTCATCCAAATCTATATACATAAAATTTTAAGAAGGTTTTGTATGGAGAAAATAAATTGAGAGTTCATTAGTACATAGGGAGAAAATAAATTGAGAGTTCATTGGTACATTGACGCTAACTTCCAATTAGATTGGATGATAGCAAATCTTAATCAAAATATGGGTTTATTCTTAATAATTGAGTGGTTAGCTAGAAAAGTTTCCAATATGAAATAATCATTGATTCAATAGTAGAAGCCTAATACACCATTTCTTCAAAAGCAGCAAAAAGTTCCGTCTAGATCAATTAATTCATTAATGAACTTCAAATAGTTTCTAACGTTTTGATTCTATAACTCTGTATTATGATAACAATGGAGCAATCGCGCAAGTAAAAGAAATAAAATCTCATTAATGATCCAGATATATATAAAGGCAGTATCATCTCGTCAAAGAAATAATACAAAAAAAATTATGTAAAAGGAAAAACAAGGTTTCACAATTGATAATATTGCAGATCTATTGACAAAGAGTTGTTGCAGCATAAACTTGATCGTCATGCAGATGCTTATGGTATAGGATAAATTAATGATTGGATCTAATGCAAGTCGAAGTTTGTAGGTGATACGCCTTAGATCCAATCGATTTTGGACATAATAAAGTTTAATATATAATCGATGCATTTTATTTCTCACAAATCTATTATTTGATTGAATTAGTATTCTAATAAACTAAATAACAGATTTGGTAGATTAGAGTGTTAATAAGTTGTTGATCACAAATTACGTATGACTGAATCTTAAATTATCCATGGTCGTAAGTAATAATGAGATATGGATATCGTTTTTACGGTTAGATCATTATGTGTAGCATTTCTCATTTCTGAAGTGAATAACTGATCTTACAGGCTAAAGTATAGTGATATTTAAATGAACACGTAAATGTTTTGTTAAAGGGCAAAACATTGAAAACTTGCAAAAGAGAATCCACATGAATAACTATCGAGTGTCAGTGGTTAATTTCTAACATTTGGTAGTGAAATCAGTCCTTCAACTTGAGGTTATCATAGTGTCTTATACGGGGATAGTCATACTTTGGTAATGTTGGATGTTACTCTGTTAAGAGTCACTAATATGACATCGTTTAGGTATGTCAAAAATTATATGAATGTTGTGAATGATCAAACGAAATTCATTACTTTTAGACAGTAAGAGATTGTGATCTACATTGCATTCAGTGAAGTTGATAACGAAATCTTTGACTAAAGTGTGCTCATGAATCAAAAATAATTTTCGATTTATTTTGACTTAAAAGTGAGATGAAAGATATGATTGATGATAGAAATTGACACATTTTCATATCTTTTAATTGATCATAATATATTGACAAATGGACTATAGTTTTACGCTAAACGAACATGTTTGGTTTTGTCATACCTCATGATATTTTTCATCATATATATCATTCTGACACATTGCTAGAAGTTAATATGGGACAACGGACGTAAATTGATGAAAAATTAAAAAGAGATATTTTAGTTTATTGATTCTAATTAGATCCAAATAATAATTCACATCGTGAGATATTGTGATCGAGAACCTAATAAGTCATACACAAAAGGAGAACTAAAAAGTGATATTTATTAATTAATTGACAAGCATTGGACAATTAATTAATTGTGTCACTTGTTAATAGGCTCAATTTAATTAATTGAATTAATTAATTCATGGACCAAATTTAATTAATTAGATTAATTGAGTATTGGATCAGGTTAAATTTAAGAGACGAATCAACCCACTTAAACTTCTATTAATTAACTGTTAGGGTTTGAGAAACAAATACAATAACACAATTATTATCTTGCTAGTATCAGAAAAGTGGAACCTTAATTCTCTCATTTTTGTTCTCTGTGTGGATTTTTATTGAAGGCTAGACAATTTGACAGCCGTGAATTATAGCTCGCGATTTTGTGTTCCAAAATTAACAAAAGAGTCTGCAGATATTAGAAAATCTATTATTCCTATCACAATTTCTTTATAAATACAAAAAAATACAAAAAAAAAAAAAAATTAGTAGGAATTGAAATATTGTTTAAATTTTGCTATGCATATATTAAGGAAAGTTCCAACATCTCATGCCCTAGTATGGATCCATTCGTGCATTACATGTCTGGCATGGGCTATTTAGTTTCTTCGTATACCGTTGAATGGATTAGGGACCGAAATATTCCCAAAAAAAGGAAAAAAAATCATTTGGAAGTTCCTGGAAAGAACCTGAACTGATGCTACCAAAAGTCGTGCATGTAGATTTTTACGAGTTCTTCCAGTACCTGAAACAAAGACGTCGAGGTGTGTCATCGTCGCCCATTGATGTTTAAGTCAGAAAGGGAATTTATGTATGAAGCTAAAAATTGAAAATAATGAAAAACGTACCCGAAATATGGGTTGGAGCCTCATATTTATAGAGATAAGTAGTGCACTCCTGGTAGGATTAAGTTAGTTGAAAATCCTTATCCAAAAGAGTCCTACTTGATGCGGGTGTTGTACTTGTGTTATGACTAGTTCCAGTTGTTTGTAAAATAGTATTACTATTGCAATAGAGTTCTACAAGGCATAGGAGTCCTGGGTTCAGAAATTCAAGGAATATTGGAATCCTGTTAGGGCTAGGATATCGTTGAGTTTGAATAGGGGGCATCGAGACGAGGTCTAGGGGACGGCCCGAGGACAAACTTGAAGTATTCCTGAGGACATAATCCCTAGCACATTGCAAACTCGAATCCTATGAATGTGTCGTGCCAGTGCTCGAGCATTAATCCCCAGGATGTAATGTACCCGAGGACATCCCGATTTTAAATAAGATGAAAAGAATTCGAAATCCTCGAAATGCGGTAATCCTCGGGTGATGGAAATAGTGTCCACATCAGGTTCAATTGTATTGGAGAAACCAGAGCAATGGGTTCGGACATTGAAGTCACTCAAAACTTGCAACCTTCTAAATTGTATCATATACCATAAGTTTATATTTTATCGGGCTCGTTTTTTGGTCGATTCTTTTAATTATAGAAATTATATCAACATAGATTGATTAATTGATGATTTTATCAATTTTCAAGTAATTAAATTTCTTTGCAATTCTTGTTCAATTTGTATTTGCTGGAAACTGAATTCATTTTCCACTTGGAGCATGTGATGTAGACATAGCTCGAAAAAAGTCTGAACTTCATATTATATATTAATAACTGAACGCCAAAAGAAACCCAGAAAATTACATTCTCTTATTGTTGGCCAATGGTGCCAATAATACAACCTTTTCATTAATTAGAAGAAAAAAAAATGAAAATTATATCAACATCCTCATTAAGCACGCACACAAATCCACAACCAAAAGAATAAAACGAAAAAAAAAAAAAAAAATCTTGATCCAGCTATCCAAATACTGAAGCAGATCAAAATTTGTATACCTTTTTGGATCACCATTTTTCATATTTGTAAAGGAGATCCTTCCTAAAACTAGTCTCCATTACACTTTCGCACTCAAAAAACAAATGTGCAGAAGCTGCATGAAATATCTTCTACTCAGTTGGCATGAATCATGAACAAATTCAACCATCTTTCTTTTCCAAGAAAGGGTTTTCAAAATTTTCTGCAAATAGAGAATTGATCCCGGCCGTCTGTTATAATCATCATGGAGAAGCTGAATCAACACTGTTTCCTCTATAATACCTTAGTTCCAATGAAATTTGTCTTTCGAGCTGAAGTTGCTTGTAAAAGTTTGCAATAAATTTGTCTGCTCTCTTATCAATATCATCTTCTGATGGATAACTTATTGTTCTCTGAAGCTCCCTCGTAGAAGATCCTGGTTGATCGCAATTATTGGGTTCAGAATCTTCCGTGAATTCCCTCAGTCCGGGCCTGTCATTGAAGCTCAGCCTTCTCTTGCTCGATGAACGCCCAATCATCGATGCCAGTTTCCATCTGTGAACATTTATATTCAATAGAAAACTTATCTTTTTCACCACCCTCTTCAGACGGTCGATCAATGGCCACCCCCCCTCTGCCGCCATCTTGATTAACTAAAGAGATGAATCCAATAGATATGAATTTGAGTGTTTGAAAGGTAGTTGTTTTGCAAGTAGATATGTTGGAAATAAATAGAATGGGACGTTACATAGCAATATATATACGTAGAGGAAGAGAGAGAGCGGGGGGGGGGGGGGGGGGGGGGGGGAGGGAGGGGGGGGGGGGGGGGGGGGGGGGGGGGGGGGGGTGGAGAGAGAGAGACGGTAATTTACTTCCTTGGGAAGTACGCAATTTTTAGGTCCTCAAACTTTTATCAATAAAACAAATGAATCCTTAATCAATGTTTTTATAGACTTTAGGTCCTCAAACTTTTATTTTTAGTGAACATTGGTCCTCACTCAATTAAAATTCTTGTTGTCTTGATTAATTTGATGGCATATTTTCGTCTAACGCAATTAAGTTTTCTCAATGACAATTGAAATGAAAAGGAAATACTAAAAAATTTAAAGTTCAGTGCTCAATGTTCTTGATATTTACTTGTTTAAGGGAAATGGAGTGGATCGAAGAAAATAATTATTATTATAAAAAAAGTCATGTGATAGCTTGAATAAAAAAAATATGATGGTTTTCATCGATTAGGATCAACATACATCGAGAATGAAACTTTGAAGACACAAATAGTAGGAAAAAATGATTATGGGATTCATAAGATTTTATTTGTAAAATATGAAGGTCATGATCGCAAATTTCTTTAGTTCATGGCCTGAAGTAAGAAGAAATTGCTGGGAAGGTTATTGGAGTAAGCGTGGGAACGAAGACTATCGGGTTAGATGACATGGCACGTTTGATTTTTAGGCTTTTTATATAAGGAAGATTTTTTATTTCAAAAGTTTGATCAATTCTTTATCTCTTTTTCGATAAGACTGCAGGTTGGGACGCGTCTAGGAATAATTAAAGATAAATTATTGGAAACTTTTTCAAAAGGTTTCCTAATTTACAAACGGCAACTTTTTAGCCGTTCCGCCTCTATTAAATTAAATTAAATTAATTTTTTTCTCTTTTATTTTTAATCACGCAATCTTCAATAACATAATATTACACGTAAATTGAAAAATTTTCATTATTTTTACGATCATCCATTTTCCAAAAAAAAAAAAAAAAACACTTCCCCCATTATAATCAAAATTAATGGGGGGCCAAATGCGGACTAATAAATTTTCATAGAAGTTTTTGAAATATGTTGTTGAAAGGTTGTGAGACTCATGAAATATATTATTAATATTGATTGTTTGACTTTAATTTAAATTACAATTTGATTTAAAATCAATACAAAAGAGGTGCTAGGTTCGTTTTGCCATTACTTTTGAACAATAATGCAATTTAGAATTAGTGATGTTAAAGTACCAACTCAGGTGACTTCATTTGATGGGTTCAATTAAATGAATTATGTGATATTGTATTTAAATGAATCTATCATTTAATGTCCCGCTACGAACAATTCAATAATATATTTAGCCCCTATTCAGGCTCCATTTTAATTTTAATGTATTTTTTCCTTTTTTCTTTCTAATCATACTTTTTTTAATAAAATAATATTATATATAACTTTTAATCACATTCTTCAAAATATCACTATTCCAAAACATATTTTCTACCAAAATTACATTAAAATGAAGCCTAAACAAGGCTTAGTTCTTGTTTGGCCTCGAATTTTTAAAATTATTTTCAACCACACATTTTGTAGGATTCATAAATTTTACCAACATTTTGATTACATATTTATTAATTTTTATTAAAATCTATTTAAGAAATTTGATTTTTAGCAAAATCAAACATCGACTTAATGTGTTTGGTATTTTTATTTTTATTTTTTTGGTATACTATAAGTTTATTGAAATGTATTGATAAAATATTAGCTACAAGTTCTAGGAAATGCTAGTATAAAATCTACATTTAAATAGTTAAATTATAATTTAAACTTTGTAAATCAACACTTAATCATCAGTCAATAAGTAACGCTATAACCACGACTTTTTTGCTAAAGAAAATTGACACGAAGATGAATTCAAATGTTTAATAGTATAATACACTATCATTCTTATTATCATCATTGGAAGAAAAATCCTATGTGAAAATTGTTGACAATGTTTAATTACATAAGACAAAAAGGAAGGGCTAGTTGCAAGAGACGCGCCACACCCGAACTCCTTACTTTTGTTGGATTGGACTCGGTCACATTGCCACCAATTAATGGATGATGATCTCCGTTGAACTTTACCTTAACCGGTCACGTGCTTAATACCGCAGTTCCTGAATTTTTTAATAGAGAAATTTTGTAAGACTTCGTATTCAATTTTGGAGAGTTGACCCAAGACTTCCTCGAAATTAATGCAAGAAAATTTGAGTATGCCTATATTATCGAAAAACTTATTTTTTCATCTTTTAGCCGTTGAGTTGTGTGACTCAAATTAGGAGTCTTTAGCAATGACATACTCGACTTGGAGTCATCAAGAGTAGTAGACTTGAACTAGGCACCAAGGAAACGGAAAGGAAGAAGAGGTTTTGGGTGTTGCCAACTTTTTTTCGATTTTTACGTGTTTTCTCCTATTTGTAACATAATTTCATGCCTTTTATGACTCTTTTTAAGGTTGGATCGTGTACTATAAATTAGATGCTCCTCTTGTCAGTTTGTGGAGTGTAACAGATAGAAGACAATTGCTAAATTGTTTTGTATTCTCCATAATGTTGAATTAATAAACATCATTCCTTTGCGTTTACCCTTTGTGTTCTTTCTTTACAAATTAAATCTTGTGTTTTCATCATGTGATTTTGTTAACTTTAGTATTATCATATAATCTCGTTCTTTAAAATTCGATTTGGAATCAACGTGTGTTATTTTATGCACCCAACAAGTGGTATTAGAGCCAAATTGTTGATTTTATGTGGATTGGTTGAGATTCTTTTGGGATGACTGGGTTGAAATATGATATTCTACAATTTGATCGCAATACAAAGTTCTCGTTATGGCAAGTAAAGATTGGGGCTGTTCTGGTGCAGTTGGATTTGGAAGATGCATTGCTGGGTTTTGAGATGATGGACAACGGAGGAGAAATAAGTCAAATAACAGAAGGATTGGAAGGTTACGTCATTAATTCATCTTTATTCTGCATGTCTTGAAGGAGAAAACTGCAGCTGCTTTGTGGTTGAGGTTGGAGCAGTTTTGTATGACTAAGAGTCTTACAAGTAAATTAGCTCTTAAGCAGAAGCTGTATTCCCATCATATAGCGGAAGGAGGGTCATTGGAAGACCATGTTGCCATGTTTAAGGAAATAGTTGCAGATCTGGAGACGTTGGAGGTTAAGTACGATGAAGAGGATCTTGTCTTGATCCTGTTGTATTCGCTGCCTGGGTCTTATGCGTTGTTTCGAGATACTATCTTGTATAGTCGAGATACTTTGACTATAGAAGATGTTTATGATGCCTTGCACTCAAAGGAGAAGATGAAGCATTTGGTTGAAGCTGTATCAAGGGATTTGGAAGCTCTTGTATCTGAAGGTGGTCGACGATGAGGTAGATCAAAAGTTAAATTTAGCAATGTGTATTGTTATTACTGCAAAAGGAAGGGACATATTCGAAAGGATTGCGATATTTTACAGGCTAAAGGTGATTTAGCGGCAAATCATGGGGGTGCAACTTTTGAATTCAGATGAAACCAATGTAGTTGAGAATTGTTCAGATGGCAAAAAGGTGATGTTGACCGTGATATTTGATGTAGAATCTAGGCCTGACAAAGAGAGGATTCTTGATTCGACATGTTCGCACCATGTGTTTCGATAGAAATTTATTTCAGACATATGAGGCTGTTCAGCAGGTGAAGTTGTAACGAAAAACAAACGAGTCTTGCCGTATTGCTCGGATCAGTCAAGTCAAACTGAAATTGCAAGATGGAACATTTAGAACAACTGATCAGGTTTGATATGTTCCTGACTTGAAAAGAAATCACATTTCGCTGAGTACTCTGAATGCGAAAGGGTATAAATTCTCTAGATGAGGTGGAGTCTTGAAGGTTCGAAAGGGAGTCCAGGTTATATTGGAAGGATGGAGGAGATCCCAGTTGTACATTTTGTAGGGGAGTGCAGAACTTGTTAGGAGAAATTTAAACAAGTTTAGTACCTGGTAGAAATTCAGTTTGGTACAATACCTTTTGGGTTGGGCCCTAAGTCGATTCAGAACACTACTATGAAAAGCGTTGGTGATCCCGCTTTACCATCAGTTTCAGGGGGTACATTGCGTTTAGTTGTTGGGGTAGGACTCATCAATCGTAGATACCGTGGTGTTAGCAATGTCTAGGATGCTTTTGGGAATGTTGAACGCAATAATTTCAGCAAGGTGTGCTTGCTACAAGGTGTGCTTCGACCTTGTGTGGTCAATGTTAATTCCTTGGTGGAATTGAGAACCCGGATATTGGGTTTGGGCAGAGGACAAGTGTTTGGTTTATATCTAGTGGTTACTGTAGTGAGGAGATTCAGCCAGTTCATTTTGATGCAAATAGATTTGAAATCTAGTAATTTCGTTCGTTGCACTGAAATTTGAGTTAGAGTGGAGATTGTCGAGTTGTGTGACTCAAATTAGGAGTCTTTAGCAGTGGCGTAATTCGACTTGGAGTCATGAAGAGTAGTAGACTTGAACTAGGACACCAAGTAAATGGAAAGGAAGAAGAGTTTTTGGGTGTTCCGGGCTTTTTCATTTTTTACACATTTTCTCCTATTTGTAACATAATTTCATGCCTTTTATGACTCATTTAGGGTTGGCTCGTGTACTATAAATTAGAAGCTCCTTTGGTCAGTTTGTGGAGTGTAACAGATAGAAACCAATTACTAATTTGCTTTGTATTCTCTATAATGTTGAATTAATAAACATCGTTCTTCTGCGTTTACCCTTTGAGTTCTTTCTTTACAAATTAAATATTGTGTTTTCATCATGTAATCTTGTTAACTTCAGTATTGTCATATAATCTTGTTCTTTAAAATTCGATTTGGAATTAACATGTCTTATTGGAGCTTCCGCACCCAACATTAACATGGGATCAAAATTCAGATTTTAATTTTAGTTAAAGTCAATAATTAATTTTAATTACA